AAATTTGTTTGAAATAAATTTCGTCGACAGAAAACTCATCGACGGAAATTTGGTCGAACGGAAATTTGGTCGAACGGAAATTTGGTCGAACGGAAATTTGGACGAATTTTTTTTTTTTTTTTTTTTTTTTTTTTTTTTTTTTTTTTTTTTTTTTTTTTATTTTTTTTTTGTTTTTTTTTTTTTTTTTTTTTTTTTTTTTTTTTTTTTTTTTTTTTTTTTTTTTTTTTTTTGTAAAGGGGGGGGGGGGGTGACAAACTACCCACTCTGGGTGCCAAGCTAACAATAAAATGTAAGCATTCAGTGGAGTGGTTGGAAAGATGCATGTTTCTACTAGGTGTGGGTGGCTAACACAACACAAAGCTAATGATATCAACAGGATTGCAGAGATAAGCTGGTCTGGCCTGTGCGTGCCGTGAGCAAGGTAGCCCTGCTGCGTACCTTGATGGAGGAGACACAAACATGGTCTTGATCCGTTTGGATTACACCGATTTTTTTTTACATTCATTCATTTTTTTAAGTTGCCACTACTTTCCAAGCTCCTCAATTGCCATTACTTTCCCACCTCTTCCTTTGCCACCATTTTCCCACTTTCTCAATTGCCACCACTTTCCAACCTCCTCAATTGCCCCAACTTTCCCACCTCCTTAACTGCCACCACTTTCACACCTCTTCAATTGCCATCACTTTACGACCTCCTAAATTTACACCATTTTGCCACCTCCTCATTTGCCACCACTTTCAAGACTCCTCAATTACCCCCACTTTTCCACCACCTAAATTGCCACAACTTTCCAAACCTCGTAAATTGCCACCACTTTCTCACCTCTTCCATTGCCACCCCTTTCCCAGCTCTTCCATTGCCACCATTATCCCACCTCCTCAATTGTAACCATTTTCCCACCTCCTCAGTTGACACAATTTTCCCACCTCCACAATTGCCACCACTTTCCCACCTCCTCAGTTTCCACCATTTTTGCCACCTCCTCAATTCCCACCACTTTCCCACCTCCTCAATTGCCACCATTTTTGCACCTCCCCAATTGCCACCATTTTTCCACCTCCTCAATTTCCACCACTTTCCCACCTCCTCAATTGCCACCACTTTCCCACCTCCTCAAATACCACAAATTTCGCCAACTCCTTAATTGCCACCACTTTCCCATCTCTACAATTTGCCACCATTTTTCCACCTCCTCAATCGCCACCTTTTTCACATCTCCTCATTGGCCACCACTTTCCTACCTCCTCATTTTCCATCATTTTCCCAAATCCCCAATTGCCACCATTTTCCCACCTCCACCAATTGCCACCACTTTCCCACCTCCTCAATTGCCACCACTTTCCCACCTCCCCAATTACCACAAATTTCGCCACCTCCTTAATTGCCATCACTTTCCCATCTCTACAATTTGCCACCATTTTTCCACCTCCTCAATCGCCACCTTTTTCACATGTCCTCATTGGCCACCACTTTCTACCTTCTCATTTTCCATCATTTTCCCAAATTCCCAATTGCCACCATTTTCCCACCTCCTCAATTGCCACCATTTTTCCACCTCTTCAATTTCCACCACTTTCCCACCTCCTCAATTACCACCACTTTCCTGCATCTTAAATTGCAACAACTTTTCCACCCCATAAATTGCCACCACTTTCCAACCTCCTCAATTTCCACCACTTTCCCACCTCCTAAATTGCCACCAATTTCCCACCTCCTCAATTACAACCAATTTTGCCACCTCCCCAATTGCCACCACCTTCCCACCTCCCAAATTGCCACCACCTTCCCACCTCCTCAGTTGCCACCATTTTTCCACCTCCCCAATTACCACCACTTTCCCACCTCCCCAATTCCCACCACTTTCCCACATCCTCAATTGCCACCATTTTCCCACCTCCTCAATTGCCACCACTTTCCCACCTCCTCAATTGCCACAAATTTCCCAACTCCTCAATTGCTACCAATTTCCCACCTCCTAATTCTCACCATTTTCCCACATCCCCAATTCCCATCACTTTCCCACATCCTAAATTGCCACCATTTTCCCACCTCCTCAATTGCCACCACTTTCCCCCCTCCTCAATTGCCACCATTTTCCCACCTCCTTAATTGCCACCATTTTCCCACCTCCTCAATTGCCACCATTTTCCCACCTCCTCAATTGCCACCATTTTCCCACCTCCTCAATTGCCACCATTTTCCCACCTCCTCACCTGCCACCATTTTCCCACCTCCTCAATTGCCACCACTTTCCCACCTCCTCCATTGCCACCATTTTCCCACCTCCTTAATTGCCACCATTTTCCCACCTCCTCAATTGCCACCATTTTTCCGCCTCCTCAATTGCCACCATTTTCCCACCTCCTCAATTGCCACCATTTTCCCACCTCCTCAACTGCCACCATTTTTCCACCTCCTCAATTGCCACCACTTTCCCACCTCCTCAATTGCCACCACTTTCCAACCTCCTCAATTGCCACCATTTTCCCACCTCCTTAATTGCCACCACTTTCCCACCTCCTCAATAGCCACCACTTTCCCACACTCTTTAAATGATATGTCAGCAGCAAACCATCATGAATCTGATTTTGTCAAAAGCAAAAATTGTGAAACACAAAAAAATCTCAAATCTCAAGTTTTTTTTGTTTTTTCTTCCTTTTTGTCCTCCCATTGATCAAACTTCCTTTTTGTCCTCCCATTGATCAAACTTCCTTTTTGTC